ATTAGCGATTCATCATTCTCATACAGTATACTCGACGATTTTAGATCTCTTGAAGATTCAACGAAGTTGACGTAGATTTTCATACAAAATTATCATTTCTTGTTTGTAACAACTGTATAAACACTTATTTCTTATTTATCCTTGATTGTAATAATATCCATTGTCCAGCTTTGATATCTAATCATATTTACATGTCATATACAGCGAAACACTTTATATTTTGCGGGGGTCGCTTTTCCCTGTTTTGTAAACAAAAGCTTACTGTAGCAGATGTAATTGTTCACGCGCTACTGCTGAGATTTAAACGAGAGATTTTAGCGATCTAACACATATGCGTTTGTATATATAAGGTGACAATTGCACATGCTTAAATCTCACATAGGGAATTAATGTAATCATATTGGAATATTTTTTTTAGTTAGTTAAACTTTTTATAGAAAGTATAGATATAGCTAAAATTTAAAAAAAAAAGTGAATAATAATAATCGTAGTGTCGTAAAGCAATTTGCTGGAATATCAAGTTTTATAAAACCAATTGAAATCCGGTATGAATGTATGATAATTTGAACTTTTTCTAATTAAATTTACGTTTGGATTAGATTAGGTATTTACTTAGGTTCATTAAGACCATGAACTTTAGCATTATACAACGTTTCAGCAAAATTGTCAAATATTTTTTACAACAATTACGAGGAATTATCCCGGTTTATCTTGAATACCCTGTTTTTGTTTTTCGAAGTTTTTGAGTTTTAAAAATGGGTTCTGGATTTTTGGCGTAAAAATGGACATATAGCTCAGCCGATCGTAGCTTAACTAATAAATTCTAGTGTTTATCAAGTTTCATCAAATGGCTTTGAAAATCTCTGCAGCCGTTTTTGTGGAAACCCTATCATACTTTAGTACAATACTTTCATTCTTTTCATATTTTAGTGAGCTACTATTCAAAATGGTTTGAAACGTTGAGAAACGCATAAAATTAAAAAATAAGATTTTCCGGCGAAAACAAACTGTTACTTCGTGAAGTTAACAAAAATAAAGTTAAGCGTGCGCCTGCAAATCACTATATAATTATAGAATTTCGTTTTTTAAAGTTTTATTTTTAAATTTAATGCCTTTATTTATTTCAAAAATCTTTGAAATTCTTATCATTTTATTGGTCATTTATTTTGTTGATATTTTGTGGTCTTCTAAAATATTTAGTAGAAAGCGATTAATTTCTACTTTTGTAAATAAATATATTAAATATTTGAATGAATATCATTTCTTGCATAATCGACATCGTTCAATTAGTCATTTTTAAAATACTAAAACATTGCGAATGGCAGAAAACTTACTTCCGGCTTTTAAGATTCACGCACCCCTTATGATTACACAGCACTAGTTAAGGCCTCTAGGGATTTTCACACCGAGTAGGCAACTCTTACTTCAGTTGTGCTTTAAACTGAGAGTCCGCCAATATACCCTACTTTAAATTCTCATTCGTGTCTCTTCTTCTACCACTATATTTCAGCAGCGTGTTTCTAAAATTTTTGCAAAGAAAAATATTAGAAATTGAATCTTCACAATAATATAAAGTAACGACTCATAAAGAAATTAAGTAACTTTTCTAATTTGGTATAATAATAAATAATGTTATTAATTTATTTAAATAATTGTTAAGTTTTATTATGATCTAGGTAGAAGCTAGAAAACAAAATGTTGATACAGATATATTTTTATTACATAACTAGCCGGCCCAACAGACTCCGTCCTGTCAAAAAAAATTGTAATGTGGCGGTGTTTTGTGCCTACCTTTTTTCTATTCTTTGCAAAAAATTATCCTGAACAGAACCGTCACCCTGGTAATAATTCGGTGTGAATTAAGAATAATTAAATAAAACACTATAAGCATTTAAAAGTAAGTAATTTTAATAATGTAAATCATAATTCAAAAATCAGTTCAATTTTCATTGTAGTGCTTTGTGATAAACGATTTTTTGTTTGATTACCTGGCGCATAGACAAACAAATCTGATGGTTTTCCAATACGGGAACAAACAACATACAATTTTTTTCATGTGAGAAACATGGGTTTTCTAAATTAATACCACAAACACGTAATGATACCATAAACGCACTGGAAACGCATTGGGATGCTTGGTGCGAGAACATCTTCTGCTTTATACTATCCTTTGAATATAGTTGGTCGATATTTCGCAACATTATAATTGCCGATCCAACCTTTATTGAAGATTGTGAGGTGACAACCCTAGCAAATCCAGCGAGTTTAAAAACTCCGGTGGATCGTCTTGGTTAGTTACCGAATCAACTGATTCGCCTGTAATTTGTTCTTGAATTTTGAAATTTAATTAATTTACATCAATGTTTTTGGCTGCCAATATAGCTTGATTAAGAGAAAGATATTTCTATGTTATATAAATATATTCAAAATTAGATTATCAAAAACTACACAAAATGTCATGACATAGATCATTGTTTTTTTTACAAATTGCGTTGCCTACTCAATTAAGAAGAAAAGGGCTGTTTTTAGGGTTTTCCCGGCAATTATTCGTTTTTTTCTCGCCGTAACAACCATCCTTGGACTTCAACGAACATTTTAAAAAAAGAATTGGCCAAATTGGTCCAGGCGTTGTTGAGTTATGCGCTTACCAACACATTTTGCGATCCATTTTTATATATAAGATGAATCCCACTACATATCTGATTTTTATTAACCATTTCGGTACGAGTGAGTATACTCGACGGCCGCAGAATGCCCCACATAGCCGGGCGTCACCTTTAGTGGACGGATGTTATATGAACGCCTAGCGTATTGACGTTGCATGCCGGCTGTGAGCGACGTTTCACTGCCATACCGAAGTGGTTACGGTTTTACTTTAAACTCTTCGGAAATACATACATTTACTTCGTAGAATATTCGGTTTCCAGAACTGAAATTTGTAGTTATTTTGTGGAAGAACCATCGAATTTAGTCATGTGCATACATAAGCACTCACATAATAATGTGCGTGATTTGAATTTATAATCGGCAGCGTCGTATAATATATACTTACATACATTCCATCTTATTATATTGTATCATATATTGTAATAATGAATTATACTCAAGCTTCCGGAAATCAGTTTTACAATTCTCTTTATTTTTGACCAATGATCTATTCTTTAGATTATATCAAATATGCCTTAGTGCTAGTGTGTTAATGAATTATGCTCCAGCTTTGTGAAACTAATTTTATGATCGGGTTTCTTTTTAACCAATGGTCCATTCTTTTTTTACCAAAATATGCCTTAGTGTCCTTTTATTAAAATGTGTAGAATGTTTTCTCTTATGCTAGTTATATAATTTGTACATATTTTAGTTTTCTTAGCATTCAAAATGATGTTTTCCATATTTTGCGTGAGGAATTTAGTTTATAGTGACAAAATATTGTAATGGCAAATCTAGATATTGATACTTTTTTTTTGAATGCCAATTCATCTGTACAATTTATTTTTAATGGTCTAAGTATTAATTATTGTATTAACTGATTAGGATCTTAATGATCTTTATTATCAAACAACTTATTCTACTTTTTCTCCGAGTCTTTCTCTGTTCTAAAAAAGTGGTCAATAACGAAATAAATGCACGTGAGGCATTTATGTTTGTGTTAAATATTAAACTTTTATCTATTACATTACGAATTAGTATAAAATATTTTTTGTTGAGAATCTATGCCTTAGTGGGACTCTAGCACTCCCTTCACGAGCCCTTCAAAAGGGATCTCTTCTGAAGTGTTTACTCTCCGAGCAATAACAGTAACACGCGGCCACGGCTACGCCGAAATAAATGCGTGCCACATGTCTGCGCATAAATGCGTTCTACGCGCCACTTGCACGTAGCTTCGCATTGGTATGATTGCTTATGATTTCAAGAGTAGGGCTTTTCATGAAAATATTGGAAAGACGAAGCTTTTTTATGCTTCATCATAAAAATGGCAGTTATGTTACAATTTATGAAACGTGTATTTGAGCAAAAGTTACAATTTAAAGCGAACTTCTATTAATTTATGCCAGCTAGAGAAAAAACTTCGTTGAAACTATTCTATTTATTTTATTTATTTGCGTAAAGAGATCAATTCTATATGCATGACAAAAGATTAATGAATATAGTGTTATCATTCTATTCTATCTCATACATATATATATGTTAGGGTGGTCCTTAAAATGATCATTTTCGAATTTCCTTGCTCCCAGGGGCTCAAATGGTTTCAAATAGATAAAAAACAATTCTCTGAAAGTTTTAGCTCTTAATATTAACGTTTAGATAGAGCACAATTCAATCAAAGTTTGTATGGAAAGAGCATGGAAAAAAATTTGAAAATTCAAAAAAAATGTTTAGGTATAATTTAGCGACAAATGAATGAGTTTTATTCATTCATTTGTTCGCTAAATTACATCTAAAAAACATTTTTAAAATTTTTGAAAATTTTTCCATGCTATTTCCATACAAAACTTTGATTGAATTGCGCTCTATCTAAACGTTAATATTAAGAGCTAAAACTTTCAGAGAATTGTTTTTTATCAATTTGGAACCATTTGAGCCCATGGGAGCAAGGAAATTCGAAAATGACCATTTTAAGGACCACCCTAATATATATTTATATTAAACAGAAACAGTTTTAAAGCAGTTTTTTATGTTGTATCGACACTGCACTGAAATATATAAATGAAATGTCAAATTTTTAAAAATGATTGCTAAAATTCATAATTTTTAGATTTTATATCTTTCCAAAATTGACGAATACGCATTTAGTATTTTTGATCATTCACTATTTTTATATAACATTTACTGCTAAGAAATCAAATTTTAATTCAATTTAATATATCACTAGTAATATTTAATAAAGGAAAAATAAGTTTACATGCTAGCAATACATTTAAGTATAATATATATATATATATTATTATATATATATTTATTGTTGTTTTTTATTTAAACTTGAAACTTTTGTCTGGTTTTAGATATGTCGTAGCGATCGGCCTTGTAGAAAAGATGGCACTTCTTCTTGCTTCTGCAAGAGGTTCCTTGGAGTCTAATCTTCTTTAATGAGCTTTGCAGAAGAAAGTTTAGTGCTACTTAACTGTTTCATTAGAGCTACGCCATTCGATAAGAATGATCCTAGTCAAGATGTCACGAAAATGATGGAAACGATACGGTAAGCTTAAAGCTTCAATTACACATACACACACAACACACACATATTATATATATATATATATATATATTATATTATATATATATATAATATATATATATTAACAAAGTCTAGTAATCAGGCATAACATCAATAAAAAACATGAATTTCTTTCAATGGAAACTGAAAATAAAATAAAAACTAAAACAATTGAATTGGAGTGAAAAGAATAAAATAGTAAATAGTACTTACAATTAGTTAATCTTAGTGTTAAATTAGAAAATTCTAATAATACATGGTATCAGGATATGGTGTAGTGCAGTATTATAAACATTAAACTTGTAATTACACAATATTTTACAAAATACTAATTTAAAAAATCACAATTGGATAGTGTGTTGTTCGTAGACGTAGACTGGTTGAAGATATAATGGAGAAAGACTTTTTAAAAAATATTTTTTACCAAGACTTGTTAATACACATGTCAACATCAAATTCAGAATCATACAATATATAATACAACCGGTATAATTTTATAACGTCTTTATATTTTATTTTTTTCATTTTTGCTCAGGTCGACTGAATTGCTAGGTTGTGTTTCTATGTTATACTGCGTAGCTACACCAATGGTCAAGCGGAAAATCAACCCATGTCTACATTAAAACTTGCAAGTAAAACATTCAGTTGTTTAAAAAACTATAGCCGATAAGGATTTGACCACATTTCAGGTAAACAATAAAACATTTAATCATCAATATTTTTTAAGAGTAAGAAAGTGTATTCAATATATTATTTATCTTATATTCAAGATAGAAAGTGTAAAATTAAATGTGTATCTGTTCAATTAAGTTACTTCACGACATTATAGATGCTTTTCTGCAAACTAAAAATATTTACATAAATATGACTGATTTTTTAATTATTTGGTCAAACTAATGGAATAATATGAAACAATACTTTAGGAGTATACACTCTCAAGTGTTTATGAAATTATTCTATCCGTAGTATGTTACCTATTATATCATGAAGTTTTTTATCATTAAGATCAGTGCCGCAATAAGAATCGTTTCCAATTTTGAATATTTCCATTCTACTATCTTCTGTTTATATTTGCTATCTGGCTTTGATAATTGCATGCATAATACATTAATATATTTGAGTTTTCGGATGAATCAATATCAAATTGTCTGAACGCTGCCGATCGTTCTTTAACGCACATGCTCACCTGAATTCTTTATTCGGTGAACCATATGTCGCATTATATAAAATATTTATATGGTTCATATTTTTTAAAACGTAGTATTTTGAACTTGAAATTCGAAAAACAGATCTAAGATAATTTTGCTTATATATATACGAAATTTGATATAAAAATTAATGTTGCAATTAGTTAAAACATATATGTATTTAGTAAGGTGCTATACTACTTATTTTTTGAATATTTCTAAAGAATAACAATTTGTTGGTTTTTACAATACAAGAGTGAAATTTTGTGAAATTTGTGAAACCATGTGATTATATAATAAAACAGACATAAAACTCATATTAAAAAAAAAAACATAATATTAAAATTTTTTTGTGATTTTTTGTTAGATTGGCGGTGGTTTTAAATTAAAAATAAATGCTCACAGTTCGAATATATAATGCTTTTTTATTTTTGATATATTTTATCCTCATTGCCCTTTCTATTATTTTAAAACAATTGAAGTACACAATTCACCCACCATTTTACCATGAAATTGCTGCTAATGCCAAATTTAGAAAGAAAATGATTAACTATTAAAGTGCAGGTCCAAAAAAGCTTGAACAAATTGCGTGTATGAGCCGACTGATTTCTTTTTTTTTTCATTTTTAACTTGGCTTTCTCTCGGTCATCTCATCGCTTATAGTCATAATTTCTGCTTGACGGTGATAAAACGAAATTAATTAAAATTAATTCGCTAGTTAAATTTGTGCTTGTTGTATTATGTATCCTGTCTGTACCTTCAGTGATACTTTGTGATGCACCCTATCTTGCCCATGGCGGAAAATCGGAAATAATTTGTTTAATTTAGACGTCGAGTCAGTTGTATTTGTGTTTGCTGTTCAATCCGCAATGATTGTTTGCAGATGATGTTAGAGGAGTAATGATTTTTTGCCTAATGTTTACGTTTGCCAGATTCTTTCATAAAGAATTCTACTGCGTTGATTTTAAGCGCATATGCCAGACGTGGCGTATTGTTAACCCGTAAGTAACCCGCGAACATTTCTCGATCGTTTGCGGTTTTAAATCATATGGGTATAATTATGGGAATGAAATTGCTATAATTAGCATAATGGTATAATTAAATCATAAGAATCTTAATCAAAGAAGCTACAATCACGTTTATCGATTTAGAATTTATTATAGGTTAATGAAAATTTTATTTCAACGTGCTGATAAACTTAGCATGATTTTTATTGATATGCATTTTTTTTATTGTTTATTTCAGTGCGCATCTAGTGCGGACGGTGTTTCCTTGCAGTTTAGACATGTTTGTAACACTCTGCTTGCCTATTGTTCTTCTGCCTCCAATGAACATTTGGATGGACTACTAAACGACGTATTGCAAACATTAGGATTGTTTTCCATAGGCAACAGGGACAATCAGGTATGTCAACTTTGTTAATATTATATGTCTAATGATGTGATTTTTTTTAGAATTAACTTTATATCTACAGCGTGTAGTATTTTCAAATTCCACGTTTTATTGGAAACTGCATTATGCTTGACTTTAGGCGATGGTGTTGTGCTAATATTTTTTTTACTGGAACGCTAAAATTAAAAAAACCTGTTCAAAAACGGTTCTCATATTTGTTCCTGTTTGGTTCGAAAATGAAAGAAACACAAATTATTACAAAACCCATTTTGTATATATATATTGTGAAATATGTAAGTTTGGTGTTGATATATATTTTGATGTGTTATTAGATTCGGGCAGCAACACCAAGTAAAAAAAACTAAAGTAGTTTTGAAATACTTTATTTATCCATACGTTTCGGTCTTTGTCGAGACCGTCATTCAGTGGAAAAAATAAAATTATACAAAAATACTCTACACTATTACACTGTGATAAACCAAGCTATTAATAACTGGAACATTTAAACTAATTATTTTTGACAATTTTTGGTTACATTCTAGTGCGTACAGATTAACTAACGTCTAAATACTGAATGAGTTCAGTTAAAATAATATTCATATTACTGAAACCGCGCTCACACTCTACCGAACTGCAGGACACAATATACATGTAATTGAGATTTCTATATCTTTAGGAATTATTTTGCCTCAAGTTTCAATATAATCTCTGAGCGTATTGATATATTGCATCAGTGATGTTAAATTAAATCTGGTGCATAATGACTGGATTTTATTTTCTTCTAGTCTATTTCAATATTGCCACTCCGTCGTTAGATCTAATACTCGAAATTCACTTATCAAATCATCTTCTGTATGTAGCGATTTAAAAATATTTTTTTTGCCGGAACGCGCTCCGGCTCGGCTCGACGTTCAGGCGCGTTCCGGCTCGACGTTCAGGCGCGTTCCGGCTCGACAACACCACTGATTTTAGGCATGTTACACGAAGTTCCAAACAAATGTAACTAATTGGATTAATACCGAATTTTTTTTAGTTTTGGAAATGCCAAAAAATCTTGGAAATCATTCATTTATAAATAGTATTCTTATATATTATTATGTAATTTTCTTTCAAATTTAAGACTTACGTTTAAAAGATAGTTTATTTCTGGATTCAAAGATATCCGTTGGCTTTTGCTGAAGATCGGCTAAACTTTTTCTTTCATTCGTAACAAATTGTTGCAATTTTGATTTTTGCTTTTAATATTAAAAGCTGGTGTATATATTCAAATTTGTTTCTATCAAGTTTTCTTGGACTGTTTAGTGTGTTCCTATTTTTTTTTTTTCGAAAAACATAGTCTGAGTTGTAAGTTTATTAGCTATGAGAAAAAACACTGTCTTAAGCATATCCTTAACTTAGACATACCGGCAGCATCTTTAAAGAGTTGGGCAGCAGCTGACTGACACTACTGCTAAAGTTTGCGTATGTAACGATGATCGCCTTTCAGAAGAAGTCCGGAGGTAAAAAATAATGTGAGCATGAAACGAAAAAATACTGTGGCTATGCACTTTTTACGAAAAGAACGCTACTGACGAGCAAACTGAGTATGGACTTGCATAAGAAGTTGATAAAATGCTGCAGTTTGAATATGTTGTGTACAGTTTAGATGAATGGAGAAAACATAATGGACCGACTAGTGGTTTTGGTAGCACATGAAGAATGCTTCATGGAACTTGAGAGGAAACAATAATTCGCAGCATATGATTGCGAAATGAAAAGAAAACTGAATCGGATCCATATAAGGCAAGGGTTGTTTCTACAAGATGCCATCGTTGGAACAATAAAAGTACAGAAAGTTTTAAAAAACGTTAGGACGCAGAAATGTGAGAAGTGAATAAAATCTGGTGCCTTACACAGGGACTTGCCTTCGGGCAGTGCATTTGCAATAATAAAAATATCATTTTCATCAAACATTATTTTTTTTATTTTAATTTTTTGCATTTATTTTTTTGCAATTTAATGAAACAAAATATCTAAAAATTCCAAAAAATATAAAATTTTTAATTTTTCTCAAAGTAATTCTAATTTTTTTTATTGCGGGAATTTCTAATATATTTTATAGACACAATATCTCACTTCACTAGTTGTATTTCATTTTCATCCTATATATATTACTACATATCAAATGCGCTATTAATACGTTGTAATAATACCTTCATAAGATGAGTATTTTACTTTTACTCTTTAAATTAGAACTTCTTGCTTTTGGGCTAAAAGAATTTCTTTCTTATTAACTAAGTAAAGACATATTTCGTATGAAGGATTTCGATAAAATCACCGCAATAAGGTAAATTATCATCTACATCTTGTTTTTATAAGCTTTCTTATATATTCCTCGTTTTAAGTTTTATCTTTGATTTTAGATATATTAAAAATATATTCTATTGAAAACATATCGCACATTTTGGTGTGATTTTGAACAAAGTCTGAAAAATATTAGCTGAAATAAAGAGAAAATGGAGAAAAATAATCACTGTATTTTGCAATATTATTATGATAAAGGGAAAAACGTTAGGCTTCTAAAAATTTGTGCTGTTTATGGTGAAGGTACTTTATCAAAATCAGCAGCTCGAAAATGGTTTACTCGCTTTCGTTCTCGTAATTTCGATGTGAAAGATGTGCCACGCTTCGCTCATCCAATCACTGGAAAAATTGATGAAAATCTTGAAAAAAGTCTATTAACTAGCTATAGACCAGAAAACTGTTTTCAACTAATTACACAGGGCTAACTACAAAAGGAAGCTCGATGTATAGAATCTTGAGGATTTGGGCATGGAAAAACTTGATAGACTGAGTTAACGACAGCGACGTGCTGCTGAAACGCAACGAAATCGAACAAACGACAATCGGAGGCGAAAAATATCATGAAAGTGATGGTGAGCGACCCCAAGCGTTCTAAAACCACTATTGACACCGAAGAAGGTGATGTAGTGTTTGTGGCGGAACTGGGTGGGAATTGTCAATCTTT